AGTCTCGGTCCCCGTGGCAGGCTGGGGGGATGGGGCACGGGCAAGGGTGCTGCGCTGCGGTCTTGGTCCCTGTTCCCTGTGGGCATCTCACGGTCTCTCTCCCCCTGCAGCCTGTGGCAGCGGGTTCTGGCTGCGGGATGGCGTCTGTGCCAGGTGAGCCCTGGCATCCCGCGGGAGGCTGCTCGTGGCCAGGGCAGCTCCCATGCCCTGGGAGCAGCCACTGTGCATTGGTTGGTGCCTTGCAGCTGGGGGCATCGGCTCCCGGCTGAGCCCCTCATCGGGGGGACCCGGTGCCACCCCGGGGCCTCAGATCCCCCATGGCTCTGCCGGCGGCTGCCTGCGTGGCAGGGGTAGGTGGCCTAGTGGCTGGAGCCGCACGGGCTTTGCAGACACTCCCTGTATACGTGGGGAGTGGGCGGGGGGATTACCCCTGGGTTGGGGGGCCCTCTGGCAGGCAGCCTGGCCTATGGGGCTGGGGGGGCGGAGGGCGGGTGAGGCTGGGCAGGGTTTGCTGCCGGGACACGCACTGAACCCCGGTCTCGGTCTCTGCAGGTGCCCGTTTGGCTTTGGTGGCTTCCAGTGTGAGGAGCGTGAGTGTCCGTGTGGGGCGGGGCCCGTGTGGGGCGGGGGCTGCTCAGCCTGGCCAGGCCCCCCACAGCAGCAGTCCTAGGGCCGGAGCCCCGGGGCAGAAGCTGGGGGGTGTGGGGGAGGTTGTGGCTCTGATCCCAGCTGGCAGGAGCCTGGGGCGGCGGCGGGGGTTGTGCCAGGGCCTCGGCCCAGGGCAGCGCGTGGTGCTGGGGGGCAGCCCCACGGCGGGCACTGGCCCTGCCGGCTCTGCTGACGGCTCTCTCCCCACAGCCTTCCTGCTGGCGCTGGTCGGGGTGTCCTGCGCTGGGGGGGTCCTGCTGCTGCTGCTGCTCGCGGCGCTGCTGCTCCTGGGGTAAGGGGGCTGCCATCCAAACCCCCCCTGACGCAGGGGGAGCCAGGAGCCCCTCCCTCCCCACCCAGGGCGAGGGGAGCCGGGGCTGCGGGTCAGGAGGGAGGGGCACTATCAGAGCTGGGGGGGGGCGGGGAGAGCCTGGGGCTGGGCTATGGGCTGTGGGTCGGGAGTGAGGGGCGCTGGCAGAGCTGGGGGGGGACGGGGAGAGCCTGGGGCTGGGCTATGGGCTGTGGGTCGGGAGTGAGGGGCGCTGGCAGAGCTGGGGGGGGGCGGGAGCCTGGGGCTGGGCTATGGGCTGTGGGTCGGGAGTGA